GAAAAAATCTTTTTTTTTTTATCGACTATTTTTATTAGAGAAATATTTTTTTTCTTTACAGTTGCATTGAAAAAATAATAAAATTCAGCTTTTTCTATTGTTAGCTTAGTAAACATAGATGTTAGCCGGTGATAAATTAGCGAAAGGGTTTGCATAATACATACATAAAAACTGCGGCTTAAAACTTGCTACCTTAAAGAAAAAATTTTAAGAAAATTTCACAGCTTTTTTGTTTCTAAATACCATCTGACTGCTGGAAGTTTACAGTTGTCATCTGAACTGTTCCACTGAATTTTATAACTTTTTGCTTATGAAGTAACAGGATCAACTGTGACAATAGATATCATGTCTGTTACACGTTTTCTGCTTAAACAAGAAAAAGTGTTGCGATAACACATGACATCAGAATCTTGGGTAAACATCTGGATTTTTGAAGTAGATTATAACCGTCAGACTTACAGAAGGCGAATCTTTAAGTCAAAAGCTAAACGGAAAGTACGAAGGTTTAAAAGCAAATGTTGCGGAAAAGATAGCTTTTGGTTGTCGAATTGGACGATTGCATGAGAGAACAGTCGCTGTAATTAGGTCGCCAATTGAATCATTATCTTATAAAGAGATGCCAATGAAGAAAAGACATTGAAACCTATTCTCATGCATTTTTTTTCTATTTTTAAGGAGGAAGTTAGGGAGAAAACTATTGCCTAAGTGTTACGAAACACACATAGCTTTATCTATCTTTTCCAAAAACTATGTCTGAGTTTTCAGCAGTTCGATTTGTGCTTAAAATGGAATTTCTATGAAAGCAAAGAATGCTCAAATAAAACGGGTACACAAAAATATAACTTGCAAAGCTTTCAAGAGCTAAATTTCTGAACATAAAATCAGTATGATATTTGTTTGGTGGAAAAGCCGTATAACTGAAGTTAGAGATTATATCTATGAAAAAATTGGCGAATCAATCTATCAAAAATACATCATATGGAAAGGAAAGAATCAAAACAAAACTACTGGAATAAGGTTTCTGCATGATCAGTCAGAGTAGACAACATCCCATAAGAAAGATGATTGCAGTTTTCGCATAGATATCAGAAGTGCCAAAAAATCTAAAGTACGAACAACTCTGATTGTTTTTTATAACTATGCTTTCAATATTTTTTTGAAAAAATACTATCTTTCCCTGAACAGATAATAACAATCTGTTTGTTCCCTCACTAAATTTTTACGCTTTTAGTGAACGGAACATACGGTATTTGGAATCGTAATTTCAAATAGCAACAGATTTGTTTGTCAAATAGTGCTTGTAAAAAATTTCTTCTATATGCCACTTAATCCACCATATAGGAATGTAAATGTTCCGACACCAACACCAGTAAACGTTTGTTTCCGTTTTTTAGAAGGTCTGTTACGGCAAGGTATTTCAACACGGTGTGCTTACACTGGTGGTGATCGCGATTCTTGTCGTCAAAAAAATTGCACTGCACTTAGTGTTTATGGAGGACTAAAAGGACAGGTGAATAATTTTTGGATCAAAAAATTATTTCAACTTACGAGTTATCATAAATCAGAATGTCTGTTGCCGTCTTCAGACTGTCCATTGAGAGTAACTATCTTTTTTTAGAGGTATACTGTTTTCCATAAGAACCAAAGTTTCCTTTTGTAAACTATTTGAGGTAATTCAAAATTTTTAATTACGAATCCCACCTAATCATCTCTTTTTCTTCCATTTTTGGTCCTCTTTTCACTTTCTGTATCTTGTCTTTGCTGAGCAAAAACTTCTTCTACATCGTCTTTTTGAGGTCATTCCTTTTTCAAGTTTTGTCGCTTATACTTCTCCATCTTGTTTTTGACCGTATAAAGGAATAGTTCACAAACTTATAAGGCGTTATTCAATTATATCTTTAACTAATTTTGTTATACATCAAATTGATGTTTCATTGGTGTTTTATTTGTACTCTATCATTGTAAAAGTTTGGTCATTCAGCTATGTTGAATATCACTCAAATGCAATATATCACTTGTACGGGATCTCTAATTCCGCCTTCTTCAATGTCTTGTTACTATCTTTACACTTTTCATTCAGATTCTTGAAAATTCTGTCATGAAAGTTCATTTTCTTTCTTTATTTTCTTTTTTTTCAAACTTTAACTTTATTAGCTGCAATTTGACGTTCTTACATAGTTATTTTTATTTCTTTGAGTGATATTTTCAAATACCCAAAAGTTTCTGTGTCTTTTAAAAATATAGTACCATTTAATTTTCAACTTCACTATCAACCAGTTTTTCAGATGAATTCTTAAACCATATATTGAAAAAAAAAAATTTTTTTTTCATTGAGTATGAAACAGAAGGTATTTTTTGTTTCAAGGATGACATGTTGATTTGTCGATATTTGGAAGAGTACCTCTTGAAGAAAATAAATAATTTCCACCAGCGATAAAAAAATTATTCTATTTTCTAAATGTTATATTCACTAAATGTTTTTACCGCAGAGTTGTTCAACTACTTTCTTTCTTGTGCCAATAACTTTTGATAGCATCAACAGAAACAAATCGTGAAGCAGTTAAAGATTTTTAGTAATTGAAAAACTAAAAAATTTTCCGCAACACTTTACTTCTTGTTCTTTTCAGTTTCGATTTTGTTGTTGTAAAGGAAACGCTTGTAACAGAGTAACAAAACGACAGTTGCAAAAACTGTATAGAGAGGACGGTTCACTGCTGGGTCGATCAAAAGGTCCGTTAAGGAGACTATTGCCGAAGTCACCGCCATCATCGTCACCACCACCTCCACCAGCACCACCAAAAACATTTACACTAGAAACTTCTGAACCCTCCGGACAAATTCGGCTACAAATTAATCATTTAATTCTCACCTTCCTGCTTGTCCTGCTAAATTTTCATTGAACGGAGTGCAACAGTTATCCCTTATATCTGCCATCAGTTATATCGATAGTTAACGTGTATAATCTTCCAGCTATTCAAATGTTTTACATTAAAAAATTGTTGCTTTTCACCAGTAATGTTCCTCATAAAAAAAACAGCACAAAATAAACTATTTTTCTTCAGTAGTGCTCAGTTTGATGTGCCTGCTGTTCATGTAGCGCTTGTAGCTGAAGCAACTACATTGACTATCGGATAAATGTGACTTGTCTTGACCTTAAAGCCCAATAAAACTGGACTTTATAAAATTAGTATAATTTTTATAATCATCTAATAAAGACCATCTTCTTTGTACTAAAACATTTCGACATTAAAAGTGATAAAGCGAAACTCACATTTACAGATATTCACGCAAAAATTCCTTTGCCAAACAGCTCTGGACTATTTTGATTACAGTTTTATTCTCAGTGTGTCTCGCTGTTTGATTTCCAAAATTGGTTGGGATGCCTAGACAACTTGATTCTTTCTCACAGTAAACAGTGTTAATCCGTCTGTTTGTCTAATCGGAACCCAAGTATGGTTATTTTTTCAGTTGCAGTACGGCTAATCGAGGCTAAACCGGTAAATGCCATCGATCTTGCAGTTCGAATTATAAGACCGACTACAACTTTGTTTCAATGAGAATTTCACTGATTATTTACATCAGTAAACTATGACGTCTAATTAACAAGTTGTCGGCGACTATACTACTAAATAAACTCTGCAAAAGATATCTCAATAATCTCTTTTCCACTTCAAAATTTGAAAGATGCTTTATAGATCATTGGCAGTAATGAAAGCACTGAGTACTGAGTAGCTAGTAAGATTTCATAGGTACTTTGAAGTTCTTTTAATGGCGGAAGTTAAGTGCAAATACACGGTAGTGAAAAGGTGAAGTACCGCGTGGTTCAAGTTCCCTACCTGACAGCTGTTTGATCGGTATTCCACTCATCAAACGCATTGTTGCGGGTGGTGCGGTAAATGGACGAATAAAACGTATTGGTTTTGAGCTGTTATATATCGTCGATTTCTCGAAAGGAGTGTGTGCACAGTACGTTCGGAACTTGAATCTCTGGGCCTATGTATGGAGTCGATGCAATGAAGGTTTCTGTTTCCAACTACCTTTTTGTTTTCGTTGTTTTATCATTTTGATTCTGGTTCGTTAGCTGGACCAAATTTGCTTTCGTGGTCAAGAGATTTGCGTGTTTCGCTTTTTTATGCCAATATTTTTCGGTCGTTTGTCAACTTCTGTTTTGCATGTTTGGTGTTGATACACTGTAATGTCGGCCACCGCGATATATCCCTTGTATTCCTTGTTCCGTCCTCTTCATTTATCCTCACTTAAAACTTGGGGAACAAAAGTTCCTTAATTTATAAATGACTGGAATTAGAACTCTGCCTTTGACAAAGGGAAATGTATCACAGTGAACATTAAGCACCATTTAGGGATGAAGTTAAACAGGTTACTTTGTTTATTCTTTTATTCAGAATATAGCTTCAGCGTATATAACATGGATATCAGTTTGATTGTTGTGTAGGTGTCTCATCGTTGTTCTACAACTCCCATTACATAACTTCTAGCTGTTCTTGTTCGTCGCTATTGTTAATGGTCTATTCGTGCGACGGGTGTGTAACTCATTCTTTGATCATAATTACTTTATGGGATGTTATTTTAGCATTTGGATGGTCAACGTACCGAAGACAAGAAGAACCTTTTGTAACGGCAAGTGTCGTAGGCACACCGTTCACAAGGTTACGCAGTATAAGAAGGGCAAAGAATCAGTTTTTGCTCAGGGTTGGTTTGAAATTTTGCAAAGGAGTTTAGCATACATTTATGTTAGGATAGTTCTTGAAAATCAAAAGTATAAAGGAATAAATAATTGACAGCAAACTTTATTTTAAACTAAATTTAGCTAGCTAGAATATTTTTCTGCGGTCGAGGTTGAAAGAAAATGGAATTTAGGGCGACGACGTTACGATTCTAAGCAGAAAGGTTTCGGTGGTCAGTCCAAGCCTATTTTTAGGAAGAAGGCTAAAACCACTAAAAAAATTGTATTGAGGATGGAGTGTACGACTTGTAAACACCGAAAACAAGTACCTATTAAGCGCTGCAAACATTTTGAACTTGGTGGACAAAAGAAGGCTAGAGGACAGGTAATATATTCAGTTTAAAGGTTTATTTGACTTCAATCACAGTTAGAAAAGTTGTTTTGCCTTCTCTCATGAGTAAATCCTCTAGAGTGAGTAAACCTGTATTTCTGATCTTGATGTAGCTTCTCACACTTGATTCTAATGCTTCTGTTTTTATTTCAAGGTATTTAGTTTTATGTACTTTTTTTTTTTTGGTTCGTCGGCAGTACAACTCGATAAACTAGCACTTTTATGGTTACTCATAAATAAACTTTCTGCGTTCTTTTGATTAAGATTTTTCTAACTACCACCTTTGTTTTAGGTCATACAGTTCTAAAGCCTGGCTAAGACTACAAATACGGACCATCTTTATGAATTTGGATTACTTTATTGTTGCCCGTTCGGGTTGATTTGTTATGAATACTTCAGAAAATAAAGTTAATCTAAATAGTTACATCCTTGTTCGCATTGGACTTTGTTATTTGCAAGGCTCTATCTTTTGAATCAAGCTATGTTTTCAGAAAACGTTTTTTTACTTTTGGAGTTTTATGTGGCAAACTTTTTAGTTAGTCAAGCACAGTGAATGAAATGCACTGTTCAGGTAAGAAGTTCATGACAAAGGCAACTGTTGACTGTAAAAATTAGAGCAGTTGATTGAAGGAATTTTCATTTGAAGTAGGGAGTTGAGGGTTTCGAGGTTACTGTCAGAGGTTGAGAGCTAATCGCTTTTGTTCTTGGTTGGTCTTTTTTTTGAAAAAGAGGTTTAGGTTTTAGTCCCGGTTGCGCGTCGTATAGTTCCTTTCCTGGCTCGCTAAACGAATCTGCCAAAGTACGAGGAATTTCAAGGCTCTGACGTATATTTTTAGACGTCTGCAACTTTTTTGAGTGTGGTAAGGTGAAGTGTCGCCTTTCATTTGGATCCTTAAGGATGTATTTCATCACTTACAGAGACAGACCCGGTATGTAAATGGACAGGTATTTGGTGGTGATTAGTGGTTTAAAATGAAAGATTTGAGCTCCACTAATTTTCAGAGGAGCATTTATTCGAGTTTTCAAGCATGGGAGATTCAGTTTCAATAGGTCGGGATAAGCGAGCATGTAAGATTTGTCTTGGGGCGAAGGCTGCTGGCGTAAGCCGCATACATTTGGATATCGAGTTGAAAGTAGTCGATGGAGATGAAGTGGCAAGTCTTTCTGTAGCCTTATAATAGTTTCATCATTTCCTGTTTGTGTAGGCTTGTGTGAGGGCTTGTGTAGGCCGTTGCGTCATTAACATTTACTTGTATCTGTCGCTGTTAAGGCCTGAAATGCTGACATTACGATAGCAAAATTTAGTTGGTAAAGTAAAAGTAGGCGAAGTTTCGTATTTTCTGATGTGTTGCTTTCTGATCTTGGTATAAATTGTAGATGAAACTGGATTTTATGAGCTTGTAAAGAAACTTAGAGGAAAAGTAAAATTAAATAGGTTGTGATTGGATGTTTTAAGTTTTTCTAAAAATTAGAAGTGATTTGGTGATTCATGACTTAAAATGCTATTCAGTCTTTATTGTTTAGCTTTTTTGGAACTAGCTTTGATTATTACTCTTTTACCGGCAGACTTTAGTGGTAGCACTATTTTGTTGTGATTGTGATCAACCTGTTTTTTGCTCAAAATTGAAATTTTGAATTGAAATTTTGCGTCTCAGTGAGGGTGTGGGCTGCTGGAAACTCTTAAAAGGGCTAAATGGGTAAAATGTGTTTGTATTGTGGAAATGCTCATAATTTACGGGGTTTTTATGGTCAGGAGTTTCATTAATTGACAATCAGGGAGACAGAAAATTTAAGAAGTGGTTCCTCTTCAGATTTTTTGGCTTTTTGGGATCAGGAAGTTAAATTTTTGTTTCAAAGGGACTTCTGTTATTGTTATTATGCTTATGAAGTTGGCGATTGTTTTTTGCATCAAGTTATAGAATATTTTCTGGAACTTAAAAGTCAGGTTGTGACACCACAGTTGTTGGGCTACTTTTTAACGTATATCTAGATCGGAATTTACTAATGATGGTGGAAGACGTCTGAAAAGTGTTTTTATTGTTTTACACGTGAAGTAAAGGAAATATGGGATGAGATATCCTTATTTGAAAAGCATAGTTGTCCAGAAAACATCAGATTATTCTGTTTCGTCCAATTTTGATTTGAAATCTTGGAGTTTAGATACTACTACATAGCAAATTAATGGCGATTCTTTTGTTGTACTATATCAAATGTGATCATCTAGGTGTAATTATCAACTGGGTAGAGAGAAAAAAAGTAGGTTCCTTCCGGCATAAGAAATTACCAAAAACTAGATGGTCAATTGAACAGTGCATTAAATGAATTATGCTCTGTTTGAATGGTAAATAGTTACATCTTCTAACTTTGAGTTGAAAAAGGATTTGAGAGATAAGGGAATTACTTCTAAGGAACATCTGAAGAATAGCTTATTCGCCATCATGTGAAATGTCATGGTCATTGCGTATTTCAGAAAAGAAGCTTTTGTATTTTTTCAGTTGGTAGCAAAAGACAGAAGCACTTTCGGCACGGGTTATAATGGCGGTCCTCTCTCAAAGGTTGAACAGTTAAAGCTAAATGATGGAGATGTTTTAGAGGTTTCTGATGCTTTTTGTATTTGTTTGCAAAATCATAAATCTTTTTTGGTTTTCCAAAATTGCTTACATTTTTAAAAGTGGTTTAAAACTCTTGAAAGTGCTATTTTTAGATTGGCGAATTCTTCTTTCAAGTACATGAAAAAGAGGAACTTGATGATACCGACCCTTTTGTGTCGTCTGGGTCACATGATGTTGTATTAGAGGAGGAGGACGTAAGTGCAAATAGAATGTTACGTGGTGTTTCCCACGAGTTGATTATAAAACATTTGTTTTTATAATTTGTCGGGTTTGTGCAACTTCAAAATCTCTTTAGCTCTCACGGCAAAATAAGCCGTTAAAGCGTTTACCTTCAACAGTTACTGATGATGGAACGGAGAAACGAGCAAAGTTGAATGATGACCAAGAAACCTTTGAAAAAAATTCCTCGGGAACGGTGAGTCTTTTTATTTATTTAGTCGTGTATAAATTTTTTTGTTAAAAATTTGTCTCGGATCGGTAGCTTTATTCACTTATCTGTCATCCTGTCGGCCGTTTGGTTAAATTAGTTTATACAATTGAGGGTTTATCGCTGCTAAAGTTTTTTTAATAAATTTTATGTTTACTTTTTTAGGGCTTATCTTTTTAAATTCTATTCAAGCACGGTTTGTTTCAGCTAGTTTAAGACAGAAGTGAGCATGAGCTGTAACACTGGTTTCGTTTTTTTAGCTAAGACGCCCTTTAGTTTTTTGATAACCTGTTTTCAAAATCTTTTAGAAACCAACTTTTTCTTCATTGCTTGTCGGCAGGAATGGCACTCAAAGTGGTTGTTCGCGGTCTGTTGTACCTGATTCCATGGGATCTTCAAATACTGTTGAAGAGTTAGTTTCGACTGCCAGTTAGTGCAAGATATAACACCTTATGTGGAACCACGTTTATATCATATTTTTTTAGAAGCCAAAAGCAGAATCATAAAAAAGCTTTGGCAGCATTTCTCCCATCATCAGATGAAGAAAATGAGGATGCTTTCACTTGGTGGGTCTACTTCGATCTTAACTGGGAAGCTTGACACTTTGCCTAGACTATAATAACTTTTGGTCTTTAAAACCTGAGAATGATGATTCTTTTCCAGCAAGTTTTTAAAGCGCCAGCAGGCTGCAGCAAAAATATTTGCAAATGACTCACCATCGGAGGACTCTGGAAGTCAGCTGTTTTCTAAAAGAGGTTTTTGATTTTATTCTAATTCCTCATTTAACAAATATTCACTTTTTTTTGATTATTTGTGTTGCTTAAAATTGGGAAATGATTCTTTTATTATTTATTTACTTATTATATTCACAAAATTTTTATTTAGAAGTACCATTAAGCAATGCAACGGTTGTTAGTAACAGTTACGGTGCACCGCTTACGAGGAAGTCAAGTCGGTTACACCAAACTTGCTTAAGTGATATGTAAAATTTCATTTCTTATTGCAATGCTAATTCTTTGTAGAGTCTGTAGTTATGTGGGAAGCTTTCTATTTATAATACTAGTTTGACTAAATAACAGGTTTAAAAAATCATCGGACGGTAAAGTTTCAAGAAACCGTAGCGCTGTCCCTCAAGATTCAGATAACGGAACTGATGTTATTGGTGACATATCGGATAGGTTGCTTCCAGCTAGCCTTGACTCAAATAGCCAACCGCAGTCTATAAAAAAGAGGTATTCAGTGGCGACAAGGAGCTTCTCAAGCCCGACATTTATGTTCAAATTGACTAGTAGATTTTCTTGATAAAATCTAAGTTGATACAATTTAGATATTCAACTTCATAAGCCCCACTAATAAGGGGATCTCTAGTCATTTCAGCAGCTTCTTACGTAAGCGGAGTTTAGCGAATGTTATTTCTATGATGAGTCGCTTTTAACATTTAATGACAAATTTACAGCTCCGGAAGTGAGCAAAAAATGGTCCCTACGAGCTCTCCGCGACACCTTTCTTCAGTTTTAAATGAATTGACACCAGCAACGAGCCAGGAAAATCAAACCAACGAAAACGGAACTGGTAAATCGCGTGCACCTGAACAACCTACAATTCCACTTAGACGCTCTCTACGGAAACGGAAAAATGTCGTCGAAGTGAAATTTTTTGCGCTTTATGAATCGTGAAACAATTTTTACGAGCCAAACAATACTGACATTTAAAGTTCCTTTATAGTTTGAAATAAGTTGTACTTCCTCGTATTCCTTTCTTCAAGTTACACCTTTAGGAATCATCATTGATAAGGAACTTTTCTATGGCAGCAGAACCTTCGACACAGAGAAGTGTAAATGCGCCTGAATTCTCCATTAAAAGAAGTCCTTTTCTTTACTTTTTGAGTGTTTTTGGTAACGAAAATGTTACAGTTTTTTTAGTTATCTGGAAGCCCGGCTGGTTCTATTAACCTGTCCTTATCTTTTTTGCTCATAGAAGTGTAGGTTTTACTCCCAGCTATTTTACTAAATGTGTTCAGGAGATTTAGACGAGAAGGATAGGGATAGGAAGATTGCTAAACAAACCGCTGTGAAGAAGGAGTTGGAGGAAGAAGAAGAAACTGTCTTGGACATCAATAAAGTGGTTTTCTGCGTCGTTTTTCTGAAATAGTTTTAAAGTTCATGGCAGGTGCGAAAATTTATCTTTAGTAATTAAAACCGTAATTTGTTTAGAGTACTACTGACTTTGGAGTTCTCAGATCTATGAAGGTGGAGAGCCAGAACGGAGTGAAACCTGAACCGTTAACAGAGAGTGAGCAGGAAGAAAACTTGGTATACGGTATGGATATGGATACGCTTAAGCGTAAACTGGTATAGTATTTACAGCTAGTATTATTTATAGTTGGCATGATTTACTGGATGCTTGGCTTTGCCCTGATTTTACTTATGTATCAGACTAGCTTAATTGACTTTTTTTTCGTGATGATATTAAAAATCTTACAATTGTAAAGATTGATCTTTTTAAAATATTTTAGATAAGAGCGGTTCAATTTGAAGATTTGGAAAGACATTCAACACCACATCAATATCTTGATAATCCCGGAAGTGAGGGGGCATCGATTTTACCAAATTTTAAACATTTCAAGAAAGCAAGTCTTTGTTTTTATTTTTGCCTTTTGTTCTCACGGTATTTCAATTCAGAATCGGAATTTTTACAAGTATGAGTTTCATATTTTTTGAATTTTTTGGCATTAAACTTAAAGTTAACTTACCGTACCAAACGACAACAAGTCTGATTTCTTTTAAAATTTAGGTGTTTTGCGTTTTTGACTCAACTTGACTGAGGTTTGAAAATTGTTGCTCAGCTTGCTTAAAAGTTACAAATAAGCATTTTAAGAATTTTCAAACGTAATACGATTTCTGTTTCAAAATATTTCAGTGTTTAAGGTCTTTTGATAAAACACAAAATCACTAAAAAAGCGTTGGCTTAGTATGGATTTAAAGTTATTGCGTTTTTTAACCTAAATGAATGAGAACAAATTCACTTTGTCTCGATACGCCTTATTTTGCTCGTTTGTCTACATTATGTGCTTTTCGTATTTACTAAAAACTTTTTATATAAAGCTGGCTATAGAATTTCTTTGTGATTCTTCTCTTTAAGTTCGTTAAGAACAACTTGAATTTGACGAAGAGAAAAGGGTAGCGTTTATAAAAAGAAATCTGAGTATAGCTAACAAAAAATTTTAAACTTAGGCGACATTTGAGAATAGAAATGCCATTTTGTTGACTGCACTTGTCTTTTACAGAAAGAGAGCTGAAACAATCTATCACAATTAGATTATTAGGGCTTGCTTCAGTTAATTCTGTAGCTCACAACGTATTATTTGATTGCGATCTTGAGTCTTTATATTTACTCACTTGTAGAGCAACTAAAATCTAAGCCTAAAATTTACTTTTTTGTACAAAACGACTAAATTTATTTTCAATATTATTCGAAGCAAAAGCTTAAAGTAAGTTATGTACGAAATGCTACATTTTTGATATAGAAGATTGTTAAGTTAACAGTCCTAGATAAATGTAATTGTAATGAAGAGCTCTCAAGGTGTAACGTCCCAATCTCATTCTTACGAAACGAAAAATGGGCAGTTTTTTTATTTTGGATGAATATTGGGTTTTCTAAATTTGGATTGCAGAAGCAGAACTATTTAGCTTGTCCCCTGCTTTTTGCACGAATCGCAGGAAAGTATGTTGAGGTTACCCTCTTAAGATCAATTGTTTGTTCTGAATTATTCGCTATCTTTGCGCTCTTTTTAATTTTTTTATTCTGAGGTTTATTTACAATATTTATCTTAGAAAAGTGTCACCAATTTATTAGGGTATTTTAAGTGGCACCAGTGATCTAAGTTGGTCAAGAAAACTGCTATTGGTTCTCATTTTTGTCTTTTTTACTATACTAATTTGAAAGGTCGGAGAAATAGGGACTGAATTTTGAAGGGTTGTTTTTCCACCTCCTTGGTACACCTGCTATTTAATAATTGTCTCTTTGATGTAAGGATGATGTTTGCTGTGTTAAAGATTTCGTTCTCAAATATGAATTAAATTTTTTTGTGAAAAACTGTTTTTAAACTTTTAATTGTGTGATTTAGAATATTTAAAAAAATTTTGTTTAGATTGATTGCTACAAAAAAAAGCAGTTTGATTGATTCATTTTGATTCGTTTTTTGTAACTTACCTGTTGCTTATTAATACCTAAAATTTCCCAAACTTTTATGCTTTCTTATTGGTACGCTGTCTCATATTTTTAGTTAAAAAGAACAGTAGATTCTGATGACGATTGTGGAACTTTTTTTTTTTTTTTTTTGAAGAGAATGCTGTTGGGTTGGTGACTTCAACAGTAAATGGGGAGAAGTAGTTAAAATGCTTTTTTAGTTTTGCTTATAACCTTTAAAACTTTTCATCAAGCTAACGGTGTTGATGAAACACCGCTATCAGTTATCTCAATTAAGGTTTCACCATAATATGATTTTTTGGCTTCAAAACAATTTTTTAATTGTTTTTTTTCACAATTGTGCTTAGTAAGAAATAGGACTGCTATTCTTATTGGGTTCTGAAAATATTACACACTGGTAAATTTGTCAAATCTTAGCAACTAAGAAAAAAAAAACAAAAACAAACATATGGAATGGAGCAAAGCAGTTTGTTAGTGTAGTTTGCCTTTAAGCGGTGTGTAAAAACGATATTTATTTATCTTCTTGTGCTTGGCTTTTAAAGAATTGTGTCGTTAGCTTTTATTTTTTTTT